ACCGCCGCGACATCGGGGCATGGCCGTGCAGCCACCGGGATGCCCAGCAGCAACGACACCAATTCCCCCGAGCCTAACCTGCTGCTGGGCTCTGCGCTGCTGGCAGACCCTGGCACCAACACCAGCCTGCACGGGATGCTCGTGGTGCCGACCACAGCCAATCCCCTGGACGAGACCGATTCTCCCGAGCCCGACCTGCTGCTGAGCTCTGCACCACCACCAGCGCCCAGCACCAATGCCAGCCTGCACCGGGCACTTGCAGTGCCAACCACAGCTGATCTGCAGGATGAGACCGATTCCCCTGATCCTGACCTGCTGCTGAGCTCTGCACCACCACCAGCGCCCAGCAACCATGCCAGCCTGCACCGGGCGCTTGCAGTGCCAACCACAGCTGATCTGCAGGATGAGACCGAGTCCGCTGATCCCGACCTGCTGCTGAGCTCTGCACCACCACCAGCACCCAGCACCAATGCCAGCCTGCACCGGGCACTTGTAGTGCCGACCACAGCTGATCTGCAGGATGAGACTGATTCCCCTGATCCCGACCTGCTGCTGAGCTTTGCACCACCGGTGGAGCCCAGCACACAGGCAGCACCCCAAAAAAGCATCACCACCGTCTTCAGCCAGCTCACGTCGCTCAGCAAGGAGGGGACAGTGGCCAGTAGCATGAACAGCAGCTCCTCTGCGGGGCCAAGCTCAGTGACCCCCCCAGCCCTTGGCCTCACCACCACAGGTTACAAGAAAGTCAAGAAAACCGGACCTCCCCCCGCACCGACTCGTTCAGCCCCTTGGGACCCCAGCAGGGTGATGAGCAAGTGCCTGCTGGCCATCCTGCTGCTGGCGCTGGTGGCTGCCACCTTCATGGTGTGCACGGGGGTGCTGGGTACCCTGCTCTGGCGACGGGCACGGACGGCACACCGCCGGCTCAGCCACACCGAGATGGTCTGCATCTCTTCCCTGTTGCCCGACGGCGAGGTGGCCACCAACGGCCCCAAGCCCGGCCGGGCCCGGCGGCCAAAGCTGCTGCTCGATGGCAGCTCTGAGGCTGATGGTGACAACCTGACTCTCAGCAGCTTCCTGCCAGAGCATTCCTGAGCTGCGGGGACAGGGTCCTGCATCCCAGAGCATTGGGGGGCCGGCAGATGCGCCGTGGGCATGGTGCCCGGTCCCTGGTGCTGCCACGCGTGGAGCCATGGGCAGGGAATCCCCATCCCCTTGGGTTCGTGTTTTAACTTGCACCAGTGTGATGGGGAGCTGCTTTCCCCCAGGGCGAGCTCAGCCCTCGAGGCTGATCCCATTAAAGCGTTACCCGGACATGGTGGTCTCTTCCTGGTAGGGACGGTGCCCCCCAGCCCCCCGTCCCCCCCCTGCTCCACCACCTGCCCACATCCCCCTGCTG